CCCGCTAACTTCATGGAGGAGACATGATGAAGTGTATAAGTTCTTGGAACGATGCATTGAGTGCAACAATCCCGAGGCCTTGTACACCCAAGGGATGTGATGGTACTTCTGATACAATAATTTTGAGCTCGAATTGAGTCTCTGAAGATGATGATCTCCAAGGGTCATCAAGCATCAACGTACGTCTATGATGCAATCTTGGTGTGTGAGGGTGGGGATGAAAAAGAGAAAGGCCTTAACCTTCTGCATTATTTCAACTGGTAGAAATTGGTGAGCGTAATGGAGTATAGAGAAAGAGCTCAGCAATTTTTTTGGTCAATTAGGGTAGACAAGGAAGTTAGAGGTAGAATAATAAAACTTCACGAGGACGGTGCTACCGTCAAAGCCTGCAGTGACTGTGAAAGTGCACAAGGTCATTTCACAGTTCGACCCCATTAGGATTTCTGGTGCCATGGCAAATTCAGTAGCTGCAATTTGTGTATATGGCATCAGGAAATGAACATTTTTTGTGATATGTTAAATGGTTTTAATAGGGACTAGATTTGCTTTTTTCCTTTACTTTTCTTCAAATTTAGCAAGGTTCTAAAAGATGTTAGGCGCTAGTCGGGCGGCGGGCTGGGGCCTAGCGCCTAGGCGGCTAGGCAGGACCTAGGCGGGCACCTAGGTGGACTAGGTGGACTTAAGTAATCTATTATATTTCGTGTAAATAAGTGTCTGTTTATATTTAAAATATATATAATTTCATCCTAAACTACAAAATAGAATGACATATATTATGAAGTATTAGAACATAATGAAAACATGGGGAACAAGCATATAATGTATGTTCATTTAAGTATTCAACAAGTCTCGTACAATTTATTGAAAAAAATAAATGCAAACTGAAAATTATCTATTTTCTTTCTAAGTGAGTCGCAATCTAGGCAGGTGCCTAGGTGGATTTAGGCGGTCTAGGCGAGTGCCTAGACAGTCTAGGCAGACGCCAAAATAGGTCTAGGCACCCTTTCTTAATTTTCAAATGCCTAGGCATTAATCAAGGCGGTGGTCAGTCGCCTAGCACCTAGGCGGGCCTAGGTGGCACTAGGCGGGGATTTTTAGAACAGTGAAATTTAGTTGTCCTATACTTTTTGTTAGTAAATGGAAAGGGGAGAAGTTTTTGGTAATATTAACAATGTTTGCTTTCTTAAATGAAAAGATGCACAACACAAAGCATGAACAAAGCATGCTTAAGTCTCCAAAACTCGTAGGTTTGAATCATATAGGGCTTGATTCTGTGTCGTTGTTAATCGTGTTACGTCAAAATTAGATTATAATAATTGAGCACAAACCCAAGTTTGACCTCCTTTAATGCGCATAACATGGTCGAGCCATGCACATACTATGCACATAGCATGCACACACAATGCTCATTGGATGCTCACGATATGCACATTTGAAATGTACAAAAAAAAAAAAAAACTTTGAAATATCACTAGTCATGGCAGCATTCCTCATTGGTAAATCAGTCATAAGAGCTACAAAAGAGACACAAGAAACTGAAATGGACAGGAACACCCTATAAAAGAATCGAATAACGAATTTACAAATGAGATAAGAAAATAAACGAAAACATTCATTTGGATACAGACTATTCCAAGTTTCTTCAGTTTGCCTTTTACAAGAACCTTCAATAGAGGAAACATTCAAATTGTCAACAATGTTTCCATAAAATTGTCAAAAATTGTCAACAGAACCTAAATAACAAATCCACCTTGTACAATAATAAATGTGATTCCTCAAGCTTAGAAGCATTACACAAGCCATCAATAAGAGCATTGAAGCTTGCAACAGTAGCCACTGGACCCAAACCTTTCTTGCTCATCTTTTTGAAGAAGTTGAAAGTATCGTTAACTCTGAGACTGCATAAGCGTCACCAATAGAAAGTTGTCTTATCTAAACATCAAGTGAAGCATGGTAAGTAATCAAATCAAGAAAGCACCCATTTTCCAAAAACCAAAATCATGAATATAAATCTCACTAGTTCCTTATCCATAAACAACAATTACCATTTATTATATAAAAATGAATTTTCTTTCGATTATAAGTTCAAACCGGAAACAACCAACTGAAAGCGTACAATAGAGTGGAGGAGTACAATGGCCCTCCAATGAAATGAGGCAGAATCATAAGGGAAATCACATTGGCAGAAAGAAAAGAAATTGCAGCCTGAACAGAAACAGCTAAACTAAGTAGGCATAACAGTTTTTTTGCTCCACTAACTCTAACACGATTGTTGCTCAGCAGAAAATAATAACTTTGTGCTTCTTAAACACCATATTTCACATTTATGAATCATACGTACACAAATGTTTCTGCATTGAGCGTTTCTCATGTCTTACTATGAGGACATCAACATGTCAGAATAAAATAACTAGTTCACATTCGCTCGGTCATCGGAACTTTATGCCAAGAAAGGGAAAGAACCACAAACTAAATGAAATACTGTAAGCAGAAGTTTCTCTAAAAGATACTCCAAGCTGACCAATTTAACAATACTAGGGGAAAAAGTATAGAAAAAGTTAAGCAAAACTTTAACAACTATACTGTATATCCTTCGAAATCATTCTCAGATCAAGAGCTTTGAACATTTTTATAATCCAATGAGAATCTCAAGATTAAAGAAGCTATATATGTGCTACAAAGAATCATCCCAATTATCCACCAATACCAAGATGTAATTTTGGAAAATAGAAATCATAACAAACCGTATAATCAAATTTCAAACCAAAGTTACCAAAATTATTCCCAAATTTTAATGACGCAGAATTCTATTCCACTTATCAACTAAAATCAACTTTCCTCTAACAAAATCACTTCTTCAAAAGTGCAACCAAACAAGAAATCACAGTAAACTCAAGCTCATTTCTACAAATCAAAGCATCAAATTTCATTACAAAAATACAACAATTTGTAGAATTTAAGCCAAACATAAAAAGAAGAAGAAAAAAAAAGTCATAAAGATCCTGAGAAGCAAAAACCAGGGAAAATGGAAGATGGGTTTTATCTGTGCAAATGTTCATGTTCCAGGTTGCTGGCAGAGTACGAGAAGATGGGGGAGGCAAGAGAGGTTTCGTCATGAAGAAAAAAAAGAGTCATAAAGATTCTGAGAAGCAAAAACCAGGAAAAAATGAAAGATGGGTTTTACATGTGTCGTTGTTCATGGTTCAAGTCACTGGCGGAGTATGAGAAGGTGGGGGAGGAGGCGAGAGAGGTTTCCTCTCTCTCATTTCTGTTTCTCTCTCTATAAAATCAGAAATGAGGGTTGCAATTTTCTAGGTAATCCAGAGAACAATTAGGTCATTTCAAGGTGTAGGAAATAGCCTATGTATTCTCTGTGCATAGTACAAAAAAATTCTATTTCTGTTTCAAGATTAAAAAATTATCCTATTTTAAGGTATTTTCTAAAAAAAAAAAAAAAGCACCAAACGGTGACTTAGCCGCGCAACAAACCCCATACAGTGCTTTGTAAGTAATTGTGCAAAGGCAAAGAACGAGAGATTCTTGTGTCTGATACCTTACCTAGTTGTGTCTTACTTGCAAAGGAGTAATTTTTCGGTGTACCGTCACTCATAATGGTGAGGGTGCACCAAAAAAATTTGGTGCACCCTCACTTTTTGTACACCAAAAAAATTCTAATGAGTGAGGGTACACCAAAAAAATTTGGTGTACCCGGTACACCTAAAAATTTTCCCTTGCAAAGAACCAGAGGGAGTAATTTGTAAATGAAGGTAAGTTTGGCTCCTTCAGAAAAAAAATTCAGCAAATCAAGGGGCAAAAGAGAAAAGAAAAGTTAAACTTTTCGAGATCCGTGCCAAAAGTTCATCTTTTCACCATCAGTGTGAGAGTAGGGAGAGCTTATTCTCTCAAGCTCAGCCGCCTTTGCACCATCAATGGCGGAGTACGAGAGGCATCAGCTGCAGCAGCAGTCAGGCGGTGGCGGAGGAATCCCCAAAGAGAGAGCTCTGCAAGCCATAAACACAATCATACAGCTCCACTTCGAGAAAACCCTCGAGAAGAAGAGGTCCATCGACCTCCAGAAGAAGGAGCTCCACAAGCTCTTCATCCTCTTCTTCATCTTCCTCGCCCTCGTCTTCTCCGCCCAGTCCTCCGCCTCCTCACGCCTCCAGTGCCGCCACTGCTGGGTCCCAATCATCCTGCTCTCCCTGGCCCACCTCATCTTCTACGTCTCGGTGGCGCAGACGCTCCGGTGCATCAACGGGTTCAAGTACCAGCGGCGCTGCCACAAGCTGACGCTGGGGCTAGCCACCGAGAAGCTGAGGGAGATGAAGGTGAGGCTGAGCGATGAATTCGATGCCCCGATTTCCGACGAGGAATTTGAGATTAATTACCAGGAGCCTCCGGAGGCCTACTTTGCGAAGTTCAAGAGGAACTGGGCTTGCCATTTTGCCTTCTTGATCCTCATCTACTGCTTCATGGTCTCTTCCTCTGTTGTTCTCCTCTGTTTTTAGTTACATTCTTTTTGCCTTTTTGTTTAAGTTAGTTGAGATCTGCTTCAGCCACTGCCTACTGGTTGAACTCGCAGCTTAGAATAGCAGCATCGCTTGTAATTTGAAAATTTCGAGGGATATGAATTTTAGAATCCAAATTTTATTCCTCTCTTTTCAGACATCTTTTTCTTATATTTTGGATGTACCAAGTTTCTGTCCTGGAAAATTGAAATGTCACTCTCTTTCCTTTTGAGATTTTGACAGGAACGATCATATATATTAATCTTAATTAATGAAATTATTATCTCTTAGTATTTGATTGGTATATCGCCAGTGCTTGATTTTGATTAGTTTAGCAATTAAAATTTATAAAAATAATTATTTCGGTCGATTTTTCTCTTTTCTTTGACAACATAATGAACATTTTCTTACACGCGTCAAATTTTTATTTTTGTGTTTCTAACAAAAAATCTAACCGTTAAAAAAATCCAGAATATCTGATACTTTCGAGCATCATAGAAAATCCATTGTTTGAATTGGAATTTGTATTTGAAAAGGATGATGAACCCACCCAAGTGAACATTCAACAGACATGCTAATGACAACTCCACTTGATGCGCAGAATATTAATACTAACTGGATGAAATAAACAATAATGTTAATCATACACCCGCGGTCCTACGCGAGAGCAAGAGCTCGATTTGAATCGTGAACGCACATAACCGGAACCTTCTGACGCCGAGGCTTAGGCCGGGGTTAATGCATTGCACAGAGATTTGTAGGCATTAAGACAAAGTTTAAATTTCTCTTCGGCGATTTCCTGCAAAGATACACGACTATCTTAGAAGTATATAACAATGAAACAGAAATTGTTGAGCTCTTATGTAATGGTAATATGACAACGGAAAAAAGAGAATGCTCGTGCCAAGCAAGAAACTAGAGCACATAGCAGAGAAACAACAGCGAGTTAAGCAGAGGGTGCAGCAAAACAATCACAGCGGCAGCATTAAAACACGCTCAAATAAATGAGAGTTTGTCAATTTCATTTTCTTTGTGGCATTGTGATTGCTGATAAGATGTTTCCTTGAAGATTCATAATTTTCTTTCAGTCTTCATACTGTCAAATTCATATTATGCACTGAAGAATGAAGATCCATACTCATACAATGGACTAAAACCAAAATTAAAAGGCTGTTTAACCCGTAAATTTTGCATACACAGCTAACGGCTAACAACTGAATATTATCTTGAACATTGTTTACATTCAAAAGCATTAAACAAGTAAAATTTGTCAAAGATCAAAAGATGAACAACTAACCTGTGAAGTGCCTTGATGCTTGTCAGGATGCCATTTTAAAGCTGATAAATGGAAACTGCCAGAAGGAATAAAAGGATTAAATAATATCCAAAAAAAATGGTAGGATAGAAAAGAAAAAGAGTTCAAGAATATGAAAAAAATAAAATATCAACTTACGCTTTTTTAACATCTTCGGTCTTTAAAGGACCTGTTCGAGGCAGACCGAGAATTGTTCTATCAGAAAATGATCCTATAGTACATGATTTATCATCAGATTCTGTGTCACTACTATTCTCCCATCTCTTACTTCTACTTCTCCAGCTCGATTGCTCTCTCCACTCAAATCCAGATTCTGAATCTTGGTAAGAAGAGTCACGTTGTGAGTTAAAAGACCAGGTGTACCATTTCTTTCCAAATGTCGCCCGAAAGATTTTCTCAGGATCATTGTCATAGTCTTCAGAGAAACTCTCTCTTTTAAACTTCCCTGAACATGTAACAGAGAGAACCATAAAGTTTGTAGGATAAAGTAATGCAAACAAATCATAACCTTTTTTAACCTCCTACCAGAAAAAGAACGGCCGGGGTTTTAAAATTCTACCTAAGATCTCTATGTGCTTTCCCCATAGGATTAGTAGTAACAAGACTTAATGAGCCACATGGCAGTCCATTTCTTCCGACTTTTGTATCCCTTTTATCTGATTTGGACACCTAAGTACCTCGTTAAGGTACAAATTCCTGCTTGAATTGTACACATGGTTGGGTGAATACCTCTGATCTTATATTCTCAATAGGCCCCCTCAAATGTGACCAGACTGAGCCAAACACACAAGTCAATTATATTGAGCAATGTGGAGCATGTGTGACCGAGCTAGGTCCAACACGTGAATAAATCTACCGTTTTGACACCATGTTCAAGAGAAACACTAAGAAAAAAGACTAGATCATTGTACTGCATTCTTAAAATGACAATACATGAATTTAGTGCATCGTACAATAATCATGCTGCATTTCAGCACATCCATCAACCACCCATCAAGCAAATGGGATGAGAATAACACGAATATCAGTATTTCAACCTGAGATTATTTGTGCAATAACCTACTCTTTCTTATCTTCCAATCCACCGGGATGGAATGGAAGGTAGCTGGAGTTAGTATGTAATTAGCTTCAGGTTTAATTTTGTAGGTGAAACAATTTAGCTCTTATGGCGAAGTTTTCTTTCTGTTGAGGTTGAATATTTGCCCAGAAGTTTGTGGAAAAGAGTCCATAGTATAGTAATATAAGGGACCGAAAAATTACATATAACATACGTCCATGCAGTATTCAAAATTTCATTTTTTTAATACAGAGCTGCATAATGTGCTTATAATATGTTTGTTTAACAAAAAAAAAAAAAAAAAAAAAAAAGAAAGAAAAACCAGCATATTTTTCTGTACAATTGAGAAGTTCATGCGAAACAGGAGTATTTATCAAAAGCATGTATCCTATTCATATGTTTACCAAGAAGCAATGACTCTAATCAAGTGCAATACCTATACACATGTTCAATGGAAACCACATCAGGGCTTCCTACAGCCATACATGCACTCTGAGTTAAGACTTCGTGTCCGGTTGTGGGAAGAAAGATTTCATCAAATAAAATTCATTAGAGTTAAGACCTCGTGTCCAGATGTGGGAATTAAGACTCCATCAAATAAAATTGAGTAGAGTTCAGACAGTGTGACCAGTTGTGGAAAAGATACCCACCATCCAGATAAGAGTACACAAAATGTCTCTATCAACAAAAAAACCTACTTGTTGAAATGAGGATAAGTAGATCGGCATATGATATAGCTCAGATGCAGGTGAAAAATCACAAACAATAAATTACAGATCATTAGACAAAAATTATATACATAAAATTATCAAATATAGAAAACATGGGAGAGAAAGGTTTAGATACGAAACAATAAGAAAAGCTTACTTTTCATTTTCTTTTGTTGCGATTTCTCAGCATGTCGAGAAGATCTTGATCTATGTTTCTTAGGAGGGCTACCCGAAAAATCTTCATTCTAATTAACATTGAAAACAGACCACAAAATCAGTACATGGAAAAATTGATAAGAGTTCTTTTTTTTATTTATTTATTTTTTATTTTTTACCATAAGTAGATACATTCATAATAAATCAGGGAAGCACTATAGGTAAACTGGAAGACAAACTGAGTAGGCTCGTTTGGAATAATTCTAAAATGACTGAAAGTGCTTTGGTATAACTGCTTTTGGGTTCCAAAAGCACTTGAAATGCATTCTTGGCATCTTGCAGGAAGCAGTTCAAGTGCATTTCCTAGATTCACTTGCATTTTTACCAAGGATTGGTTCCAAAAGCACTTTCATCAAAAGCATTTTCAATCATTTTAAAGGCACTTCTAAACACAAGAGCTGTTGGAATGTGGAACAAATATAATATCAAGTGCTAGATTTACTGAAACTCTGAAAGTTCGTGGGGGAATCTGTCCTTTGGTTGTTTATATATCATCTGGATTAACAATTAAGGATCCACAAGACCATTAAAATACTTAGAACTATCTCATGATTGGCAGCAAAGGATAAATTTTAGGCTCCAACAACATCAATTATGATCTTTTTCATCACTCTTTTTGAAAATTTATTTTTCTAAGGAGTCGATTTAAATTATGTGTAGCTATATCCAAAACAAAGTTGAATTCAAGGACATTCGATCAGAACTTAATGTCCAAAAGTATCCTCAAAGTCCATTTAACATTTTAGTGCAACAAAAAAATAGGACATTTCAGTGCATGGTGATGCCTAACATCATGTGTAAACCAACACAATTTCCAAAGTGTTTTATATACATGGACTCCAGTAAGACCACTATAAACCAAAAACACGAGGATGAGTCTACCTGAATGTCATGGAATAAACCTTTAGAGGACCCACTGTTGAAGAGGAGGTTTTTCAGGGCCTTCTTTGCATCAGCACGCTTCTGACGTGTTTCGTATCTGATGTAACTCTAAAATACACATTTCATACGTCAAAGAATGAGGAAAACAGATTTAACATGGAATATAAATTATGCTTACACATTTCGCATCACTCTATGGGCAACCAATTTAACTTGGGACTCAGATTACGATATAAAATCATCTGAATTAGAAAGCTGGAAAGCTAATAAATGTCTAGCAGGTTAAAGACCAACCATGGCTTTAGTTAACATTTATTTAACAGAGTATTTCAAAAACAAAAGGCAACACAATTTGGATAATGACAAGGGAAGCACTACATCTCCAGCATGGGGTTAGACAAAAGAAAAACAACGCAAGATAACGATGCATTTGCTTATTAGCAAGATTTTGATCAAACATAACTAAAAGCAATTTGATGCAGGGGAAACATTAAGTTTTTCAAGTGTTGAAAAACACACCCACTAGAACTTGTTCTTTAATGTAACCAACGACAATAGACTAAACTAGCAAATATAGAAAATCTTAGAAACACACAAGAATTATACTTGTAAGATCCCACATCGCCTAGGGCAGGGGAGGTGATGTGCCTTATATGTACATGCCTACCTCCTTATAGTAAGAAGCGTTTTGGGTGGAAACCCAAGAACAAATCCGTGAGGGCATGGCCCAAAGTGGACAATATCTTGCTATGTGGACTAGGATGTGACAATTTGGTATCAAAGCCACTCCCCGGCCGGAAGTGTACCGATGAGGGCGTCGGGCCCCTAAAGGGGATGGATTGTAAGATCCCACATCGCCTGGGGGAGGGGAGGTGATGTACCTTGTATGTACATACCCACCTCCCTATAGTAAGATGCGTTTTGGTTGGAAACCCAAGAACAAATTAGTGAGGGCGTGGTCCAAAGCAGACAATATCTTGCTATACGGACTGGGATGTGACAATACCGGTTCGGCAGAACTTTTGCCTATGTCCAGTTGTGATTTCTCTAAGTAGAGAAATCATCACTCATTTGATTCATAATAGAGATTACATAACTTTTGCAAACCCTAGAACTAATCTCAAAACTCTCGGCTGTCTCTGGCTGTCTCTCTAAAAATTAAGCCTTGCCGCACCCTATTTATAGGCATAGGGTAGGCTTACATGTCCCAAGGCTATTGAATTCCTATTTCTAAGTGGATTAGGAAATTACACTTATCTAAATCCAAATAGACTTCTAGAAATACAAACCTAAATTGAATAAGGAAAACTGAAATTCTTTCCTAATCCCTCTAGGACAAGCATCGGTATACCTCTAATTTTCCTAAAACAAACCCAAATCGACTAGGACATATTTGACGAGCCAAAAATCCTAACAACCTCCACCTTGGTGAGTCAAACCAAGTCTTGATCGTTGCACCCCAGATTATCTTTGAACCTTCTTGAAGCAGCTCTGGAAATCTTCAAGAGTCTTCACCTTGGCAATCTTCTCCTTGCCTCAATGCACCTCAAGTGAGGAGGTGCTTCACTTTGATTAATCAATGAGATTGATCAAGTTCAAGCAATGCTTGAACTTCTTGGTTGGCACTATCTTTGTAAGGAAATCTGTGGCATTGTCATCGGTATGAATCTTTTCAATCCAAATCTCCTTAAACTCCACCCAATCTCTGATTTTGTGTTACCTTGCTTCAATGTGTTTTGATCTTCCACAAAAAAACTTGATTCTTTGCCAAGTGAACGGGACTTTGACTATCACACTTCAGCTTCACACAATCTTGAGTGATTCCCATTTGACTTACCAAGCCACTAAGCCAAATTGCTTCCTTTCCAGCTTCGGCCAATGCAATATATTCTGCCCCTATGGTCAACAAAGTTGTAATTGGTTGCAGTAGTGCCCTCCAATTGATTGGTCTTCCTGCGCATGTAAACACATAACTAGAAGTTGACCTTCTCTTGTCCAAGTCCCCTACATAATCGGCATCCACATATCCTAACACCCCTACATTTTCTTTTTGCTTCTCAAACATAATCCTTTGTCGCCAAGAACCCTTCAAACAACGCAAAATCCACTTGACTGCATCCCAATGTTGGTTTCCCTGATTTGCCATATATCTGGAAATGATACTAATTGCTTGAGCTATGTCGGGATGTGTGCATACCATTGCATACATGAGACAGCCCACGACATTAGCATAAGGCACCTTCTCCATTTCTTGTTGCTCTTCCTCGAACGTAGGATATTGTTGTCCACTTAACCTGAAGTGAGCTGCCAAAGGAGTCGAGACTAACTTTGCTTCTTGCATGTTGAACTTCTTAAGAATCTTCTGAATATACTTGGCTTGTGATATCCAGATCTTTCCAACGGTCTTATCTCTCTGAATTTCCATGCCAAGGATCTTTTGTGCAGCACCTAGATCCTTCATGTCAAACTCCTCACTCAACATCTTCTTCAAGTCTGGAATTCTAGACTTGTCTTGACAAGCAATTAGCATGTCATCCACATATAGGAATAGTAATATGATCATCCCATCTTGGAACACAAGATAGCACACGCATCAGTCATATAAACTTCTTCTAAAATTGATTTTCAACATGAAGGAATCAAACCTCTTGTACCACTACCTTGGAGATTGTTTCAGGCCATACAGGGACTTCCTTAGCTAACATACTAGGTTCTTTTTCCCATATTCAACAAACCCTTCTGGTTGAGCCATGAAAATTGTTTCCTCTAAATCCCTATGAAGAAACGATGTCTTCACATCCATCTGCTCAATCTCCATGTCATGTTGAGTTGCCATTGCTAAAAGTAATCTGATAGAAGTATGCTTGACTATAGGTGAAAATATCTCATCATAATCCACCCCTTCCTTTTGTGAGTACCCCTTAGCCACGAGCCTTACTTTGAATCTCACGGCATCTTGTTCATGCAACCCTTCCTTTTTCCTAAATACCCACTTGCATGCAACTAGCTTTCTATCTTTGGGCTTAGGAACCATCTCCCAAACAAAGTTCTTGTAAAGAGACTCCATTTCTTCTGTTATAGCACTTATCCAACTATCTCACTCATCGCTTGCTATAGCTTATCAATAAGTAGTCGGATCTCCTTGACTAATGTTAAGAGCATAATTCACTTCATCTCGATCAAACCCAAATCTGTCAGGTTTCTTCTTGTTCCAATTAGGTTTGTCTGGTGCTATGCATCTCTGGAATGCAGGTGGATTGTTAGTTGGAGTTTGAACCCTTTGGGATGTCTAGCGAATTGGAGTGCCTTCAATATGTCGTGTTTCTTGCTCCACATGATTCCTAACTGGTGAACGATGCTGAAGCTCTTCTTCTTCCTCAAAACCATCAGATTCGGCCTCTTGCTCGATTTGCTCCACCTGAGCTTCTTCATTTGAACTGATTAATGAAATATTTGTTGCTTCAATTTTAGCATCGTCCATCTTCTCCCTACTGCTCTCAACTTTATTCAGAGGCATGGTTGTCTCATCAAAGACAACATCTCCACTGACAACCTTTTTCCTGTTGTTGAAATCCCAAAGCTTGAAACCCTCAACTCCTTTCTCAAAACCTAAGTATATGCAATGTGTAGACTTCGGTTTAAACTTGGACCTTTCATCACTTGGAATATGTGCATAAGCACTATAGCCAAACACCCTAAGCTTGGAATAGTCCACCGGCTTCTCAGACCATACCTCTTTTGCATTCTTAAAACCGAGTATTGTAGATGGTGACCTGTAAATCAAATAACTTGCATGATTAATAGCCTCTGCCCAAAAACTATTAGGCAATACTGCATGAAATCGCATGCTCCTCTCTCTCTCCATGAGAGTTCGGTTCATCCTCTTAGCAGCTCCATTTTGTTGGGGATTCTTCTTTACTGTGAAGTACCTTATGATGCCTTCCTGCTTGCAGTAATCGGTGAACTCATTAATTGTATATTCACCTCCATTGTCACTTCTCAGGTACTTGATCTTTCTTCCAGTTTGATTCTCGGTTTCTGTTTTCCATTCCTTGAACTTTGCAAAAACCTCGTATTTCTGCTTCATGAAATAAACCCAAAACTGCCTAGAATAATCATCCATGAAAGTAACAAAATACCTGGCTCCACTATTTAATTTAGTTGGTGCAGGGCCCCAAACATCTAAGTGAATATAGCTGAATTGCTCCTTGCTTTGGTTATCTACACTGCTACTTGCGAATGATACCTTTCTTTGCTTTCTGAGAACACAGTATTCACAAAAGCTCAATTTGCAAGATGACACGCCTTCCAACAAGCCTTGCTTGTGTAATTCTTGCAACCCTTTTTGGCTTACGTGCCCAAGCCTATGATGCCAACGTTCAGTCTTGTCTTCTACACTTTGATTTACGGAAACAGCTGCTCCCCCGACTATAGTGGTACCAATTAACTTATACAACTTATTGGGTTGTAGGTCACCCCGCATTACCACTAGTGATCCTGTGGTTACCTTGAGTCTTCCCTTTTTAAACTTGTACCCATAATTGGCCTCATCTAAAGTACACAAGGAAATCAAATTCTTTCGTAGTCTAGGGACATACTTGACGTTCCCCAAAGATCGTATCATCCCATCGAACATTCTGATTCGAACAATGCCGATTCCTCTTAAAGGAGATGAAGAATCATCCCCCATTAAGACTTCCCCATTGTTGACTTCCTTGTAAGTATTGAACCATTATCTTACTGCACACATGAAATGTGCATCCGATATCCAAAATCCAATTTGTGAAAGCCTTGGAGCCTAATGTTACTGAATGAGGCTCCTCATCACTCTCATGCTCGGTGACTGCACTAGCTGAACCTAAGCTTCCTTCCATCTTGGCTTTCTTTCTTTCCAAATCTTGCAGTTCCTCTTCCAATGATCGGCTGAACCACATTCAAAGCAACCTTCCTTCTTTTTCCTCTTGGATTTTGACCTACCTCTATTGCCGGTTTTCTCTTCCTTTGTCTTTTCCCGCCCCCTCTCCTTGGCTTTGGCATAAGGACCTTGAGAGCTTTCAATTATATCATCCAGTTTAGCATATGACTGAAGAGCTTGAATTACGTCTTCAAGCTTCAGGGACTCTTTTCCAAACATTAAGAGTTGTTCGAAAATGCTTGAAAGATGAAGGTAGAGACCTCAGCAAGATGATAGCCATATCATCATCTTTGTAAGTTTCTTCGACCTTTTGAAGATTAGCTGTGCAATTCTGGAACCTGCATACGTGATCTTCAATATCATCTCCTTCTTTTAGTCGAAGCCCGAATAGTTCAACCTTTAGAAAAAGTTTTTTGGACACGATTTTGCCCATATAAACATTCTCCAACTTTTCCCATGCTTCCTGGGCAATCCATTTTTTCAGTGATGTGTGACCAAACTGATCTTGTGAGATGGATCTTGATGGAACTCTTGGCCTTCTTGAGAACCTTAGTCCATGCTGCTTCTATCATGTTTTCCGGCTTCTCACCATCGAGTGTATCGTCCAAATCCTACTACATCAGTACGTTCTTCATCATCCTTTGCCAGTCCATGAAGTCATCCTTTTCGTCAAAGGGTTTTGACGTAGGTTCTAGATTCACATTCATCTTCCCTTTTGACGTCGTAGAACACCTTGATCCTAGCTCTAATACCAATTGTTGAAAAATACACCCGCTAGACCTTGTTCTTTAATGTAACCAACAACAATAGACTAAACTAGCAAATATAGAAAAACTTAGAAAAACACAAGAAGTACACTGGTTCGGCAGAACTTTTGCATACGTCCAGTTGAACTTTTGCAAACCCCAGAACTAATCTCAAAACTCTCGGCTAAATCTGTCTGTTTTTCTCTATAAAAATTAAGCCTTGCCGCACCCTATTTATAGGCATAGGGTAGGCTTACATGTCCCAAGGCTGATTGAATTCCTATTTCTAAGTGGATTAGGAAATTACACTAAATCCAAATAAACTTCTAGAAATCCAAACCTAAATTGAATAAGGAAAACTGAAATTCTTTCCTAATCCCTCTAGGACAAGAATCGGTATACCTCTAATTTTCCTAAAACAAACCCAAACCGACTAGGACATATTTGATGAGCCAAAAATCCTAACATCAAGCTACAATGAAGTTGGCAATTAACGGCAGCTGGAGTGAATGCACAGAATAAAATCACCAAAAGACAGCAAAGTAGGCAATCAATTATTACGCCAACATTAAAAACACACTAATATTATATGATAGATTATTCACTATGCCTAGCATATGATTTTCACTTAGTTTGCGACTGGAAATGATCCAGAAAGAGAGCACAATCAGGAGGGAGAGCACTGAACCATCCATGACTAAAGAACCTAAAATGCCTGTTTCAAGACCTTTCAATTGCTTGGAGCTATAATTTTCATATGAGGCAGACACATATGTAGATCAGGACCTTTCTTAAATTCCTAAGTACCACATGTGCTAAGCAAAAACATTAATGAAAACAAATCTAAAGTCGTATAGTGGTTGGTGGAACATAGTTATTTTCCTATTGTCTGAAGAATCAGACCTCATAAGGTAGATTGAAGACAAAATACTCCTTCAAAATCAATCATTAAGCATCAAGATACTGTCTTGGAGATTAATGACAGTATCCCGGGCATCCAGATAGTATCTTGATGCTTAACGATTGATTTTAGAGGAGAATCAGACTACAGAAAAATAAAAAAATCCCTAATAATACGAGTCTGTTTTTCAGTTGAAAACTCAGTATCTTGAGACCTTCTTGTTCCTTTGTGTTTTCTTGGTCTTGTTGGTGACGAAAAAAGAGAAGATGTGGGGAAGGGTGTGTCTGTTCAAAACCCTTAATCCTCGAATTGATTCCATAGTAATAAATAGGAAACCGCTGTTTTAATTAATATGATGAGAACAGATAACAGCCATGTGTGCAGTGCCACTTTTTGCTTCCAACCTTGCACTTTTGGCATGCATTTTCACATGCTATAGGAGAATTGCGAAATTAACAAACTTAATACCTTTGTTGGTTGTTGACTGCTTTTTACATCCTGCAAAAACATTTGAATCATCAATTATTCTCATACAAAGTACAACAGTGTTAGTTAATAAAATTATAAGGATTTTAAAACAGGTAAGCATTCATCACAAACTTGAAGATACAGATCACACAAACAAATTATCCCGAGATGCATAGCAAATATGATTGATAAAACCTTCAAAATTTGAACTACACCCAACACTGTTAGGATCTCAAGGAACCCCACCCCTTATTAGACCAACAGAACGTATAACAAGACGACTGACATCTAACCACTTATCTTACGGATTCTCTATACCTTGAAGTCAAAGGTGAAAGAACAATAATATTAAAAACTTAAAAATAATGACCAAAAATCAGTGCCAAGACCAACAGTATTGCAAGCCTTTACTGCAAAGAGAGGATAAATATCCTCACATACTAGGGTAACCAACCTAAAGGTTAATTGAACAGAGAAAATGGCCCAAGTTAAACCTTCAAAATAGCCAAAAAGGTTGTGAACAAACTTAACACCAAATGACAAGAAAGCCAAAAGATTAAGCAAACGATTGTCAAGTTATTCCATCATCGGTTTCAAGAGGAAAGTGAGCAAAGAAAACCTACAAAGTGATTCCCAAACACATATAACTCTGATAAATAAACAAAAAAAATTGAAAAAAAAAGACAAACTTTATGGAAATTAAACCAAATTCATGGTTCACATGCATTTTATATGTACCATAAAATTCTGATTACAAGATAAAACAAGTCATACCATGGAATCGTACAGATTCGCAATGAGAAACAAAATTTTAGAATTCATCCAACAACTAAAGGAATAATAGTGGAAATTAAACAATCCTCAATCAAGGACATTGTCAGCTTCACAGTATCGACAAAATACAAATACTAACGAGCACAGAGCAACTAGATAACGCGTTTGCATAGAGAAAGCTCTGCTTATGAACAATTACAAAAGAACCGATCTCATTTCATTAAAAACGTATTGGTATTACTTTTTGGATAGCAAACATTTGATTATTATAAATAAAATTTTATAAAGCATCTACGAAAGATGAACACCACGCACGCATCTATTTATACACGAAAATTAATCTTTTCCTTCTCCATTTAATTATTTACCAACCCAAAATCCTAACTTGATCATATAAATTATAATTAACCCCTCCAAACAAACAGAATGAATACATGATTTACAAAATTTCCTCAATTGGGTATTGAGCAAAGGAACATAACAAACAAGACCAATTAACCATCTTTTTATTTTTCACGCGTGAAAGAAAAAGGAGAAAAGTAAACTCACAAAGGTCCATTTGTTCTTCCACTTCTCACACGAAGCAGGAGTAGAATGGAATGAAGCGAAACGGGTAGCTGCAGAAGTTGATGAAACCAATGAATTCTTGAGGAGCAAGACGTTTCTCCATCTGGGTATTTGCATTTGTGGAGGGAATGGAAATCTGTAAATTTTCTGCCAAGAAAAATGAACTATCTGATTCTTCGCGCGGAGGGGAGGTGCCTTGGTCTGTGGCTCGGAGTTTGGGTTTCATATGACCGAGAGATTGACCACGAAACTGCGTGGGCTCAGGCTGTGAGAGAGAATCCAGAAGAAAAATTGGGCTGGTTTGGCATTTTAGACCCAACCCGTTAATCCCGACACAACCCACCTGTTAAAATTAGCATTTAGGTGGATGCTTAATGAGCCAATCGTTAACGGATGAACAGTTAATCAATTGTTAAATAACGGATTATTTTGGACGTACCTGTTAACATTTTTTTTTTTTTGAACAAAAGATATGATCTACACTAAGACCATCTCCAACCGTTGGGCTAAAAGCCATATTTTTTAGCCCGGAAAATTTAGCTTTTAGTCCAGAAACAACTTTTCTGCTCCAACCCTTCTGGCCTAAAATTTTAACCCGAAATTATTAAAGAATGAACTTAGGCTAATTCTTTTCTTAAATTTACTTTTTTTAAAAAATTATGTGGACTATTGTAAAATAATTTTATGAACATTTTAATCTAAAAATATTTAAATTCCGATAAATATTGAAAAATCACTAAATCAATACATGTGAAGCACATACACATGGGAATCATATAACCTTCACCTATCATCTGTGTAAACACAAATGGAATATTAGTTGATCACACAATCTTTCAACATTCAATCATCCTCTATATTCAACATTCTTTCAACTTTCAAAGTGTTTTTGTTTCCAAAAAATCCTCAATATCTCATCAATGGGTGATAGAAGAAGGAGTAGCAGGGCAATGCAGATGGCACAATACCAAGTAAGCCTTGACCTTGAGGATGCAGAAATGATCAACGTAGAAGCTAAATTTGCAAACTCGCTTATGCAATATGAGCATCATGCCAAATTTAGCTATCGTGGTTCTGTCACAGGACGTTCATTTGTGCAGCGTGATAGAGAGTGTCATGACTGAATGATGAAAGATTATTTCATCGAGCTTCCGAGATTTCCTGTTCATGATTTTCAAAGGTAGTTTCAAACGAGGAGAGAGCTTTTTGAAAGCATCTTGAACGCAATTATCAATCATGACCACTACTTTGCAAGGAAGATAGATGTAGTAGGCCGACAAAGTCTATCACCTTATCAGAAGCTCACATTTGCATTTCGTATGCTAGCCAATAGGTGTTTTGCAGACTCAATTGACGAGTATTGCCAACTTGCAGAGCCTATTGCTATTGAGAACCCGAAGCACTTCTATAAGGCAATTGAAACCATATATAGAGCCACATACCTCCGCAAGCCAAATCGTGAAGACTTGAAGAGGCTTCTACGTAAGGCAGACAAAAGAGGTTTGATAGGAGCATATTTATGCGACTTAATTGGCTTGTTCTCGTGCATTTATGTTGTGTTTCCTTAGTTATTTTAGTGTTTTAAGTCACTTTTGTGCGTTTTCAGATTATAAAGCCAAAGTGTACAAGAAGATGCAAATTGGAGTCTTTTGGAGCAAAAGAGGAATGAATGAGTTGAAGACTTGAAGAAATATGAATTCCTAATTGAAGATTGATTCCTTCTCACATGAGGATTCCTAGCAGAACAAGGAGTCCTACTCCAACAAGGATTCCTACTTGAAGTAGGAAAGTTAAGCCAAGGTTTCCCATTTTGGTAACCTTTCCTAATCTTAAAAGTCCTTGTTTTCCAGCCACTTTGAAGGCCTTGTATGCACTTTAGGACACAAAAAAAAGGCCCTAGACCCCTTCCACCCCTTTGCTGCACCTTTCCCTTTCTCTCCATCCTTTGCCGTGCAAGGGGGGGTATTTATGTCCCATTTTCTGCACTTAAACACTTTCCCCTTTCAAAATAAAACCCTAGCTGCACCTCTTAACCAATTTCCTTTTAATTTTCGGATTTGATTTCCTAATTCTAGAAGCCTTTGATTTAATTTTAGTTAACCAAAATAAATTAGGGTTTGAATTTCTGAAAACCCTATATATTCTTGGACTTAGCCGCACCCTAGGGAATTCCCTATTCATTCCTTCATCATTCCACATCTTTGCCGCAGCCACCATCACTCTCCCACCTTCAATCTGCAACATCCATCCATTCCAGCCACCTTCCACCTCCTTGCCGCAGCCTTCCATCCAATTTCCTACCATTCACCGACTTAAAGACCTTCATCCAAACCCCCCTACACCATCACTAAGCCTTGCCGCACCACCATACCTTCCTAAACCCATCTAAAACCCAGAAAATCATCCATAAAACCCTCCATCCTCTGTGCCACAGCAAGGAGAAGAAGAAAGAGGAGCTTGAAACGTGCAGAAATTCAAAGTGGATTCGTTGGGCGTTCTAGGTGTAATCAATCTTTTGTTCTCTATGTTTAATTTCAATTTTGTTTCTCTTTCTATGAACATGAGAGGCTAAACCCCTAGTTAGCTAGGGGGTGATTCAAAACCATGTATATGCTTGCAATATAAATTGATTACCTTCAGTTGGAATTTCATGAGTTGTGGATTCAATTTGTTTAACTACTTGATTGATAATGTATTTATGTATGTTTATTGAGAGTGCACGCTTAGTTTTCATACATGAATACGATGCTAGAATATGAGGGAGTTTCACTTAATAGTTACAAACTTATATTCACAAGTAGTGGAGGTTGCTTATAAACAATCGCGTTAAATGAATTCTTGGCACTAGTTTCATGCTCATCATAGTAACGAATGCCTCGTCAACACTTATAGTTTTCATGTTGCTTAATGATCTTTGATTGTATCTTTATTGTGCTTTTCACGTAAAGGACTTTTGGAGAATGTTTTGAATTGTTGTATGCGCTTTCCCATCCAATTCATTAACTTAAGGAGAACTTGAAGGTTAATTTAAGCGAACCTAATTAACCTGGGGTGTTGAGTTTCATGATTCATCGAAAGGCCAACTGAAAATCATCTTATATGCAAGTGTGACATGTGTGGAGAAGAACCTTCTAGCTAGCATTCCATCCATATTTTCATCAAATTCGTTTTTACAATCTGTTTTTATTACAATTTGTCTTCTTTATTTTAATTTCATCAAAACTAAATCCCCCTTTACTTTAGTGTTTCAATTTAGTTAGAAAGTGTCTTAGTTTGTGTTTCTAAGTGTTTTGATTCAAGTTATAACCCAAATTCGTCCAAATTAGGTTAGGTGTTCAAAACTGCCCAGATTGTGTTTTTAAGGCAGTTTTGAGTGTTTTGTTGCTGTTTTGAGTCTTTTGGTTTGTTTTAGTGTTTAGTTTTGCATTCTTTGAGTCTAGTTTAGTGTTTTAACCTTTGTTTTACGTTTTTGAGTCAGTTTTCAAGTGATTTAGCAATCCCTCCTAATCCCCAGTTTAGAACGATCCCTACTTATACATATACTACAATTGTCAAAAGAGGGTTTTAATTTGTGTGCTTATATATTTCGCATCAAGGTTTCCCTGGAATGATAGGAAGTCTTGATTGTATGTATTGGGAGTGGAAGAATTATCCTACTACTTGGGTTGGCCAATTCAAGGGCCATCATAACAAGCCAACTATCATGCTCGAGGTTGTGGCATCTTACGACACTTGGATTTGGCATGCATTCTTCGGCGCTCTTGGATCAAACAACGATATCAATGTTCTTTGGTCTTCTCCTCTGTTCGATGATGTTGTCAATTGATGGGCACCAGAATTTCGGTACAAGGTAAATGGTAATAGGTATGAGCTAGGTTAGTACCTAACTAATGATATTTATTCTAGTTGGTCTACCTTTGTCAAAAGTTTTTCTCATCCCGATAGTGCAAAGAAGAAATTATTTTCGTAGAGGCAAGAGTCTTAAAGGAAGGATGTGGAGAGTGTTCAGGATCCTACTAGCTTAATGGGTAATTGTTAGAAGGCCTGCACGACTTTGGCATACCGAAGGCCTCCATTCAATCATGATGACGTGCATAATTTTGCACAACATGATTGTGGAAGATGAGTACATCGAAATTGAAGAAGATTCAAATGAAGATGTGGATGATGACCAACCAACACTTGTGAAAGCTATGGTAAGAGATGTTGAATATCTTGCTGCAACCACGTATGAGACCCGATAGGATAGGGTTACATTGAGTGAGTATGTGAGACATTTAAGTAGAATTCAAGCTCCTCAAGGTCATGACACACTCCGCAAGGATTTGGTTGAGCATGTATGGTGTTGAGAAGGTGAACGTTGATGATGTTGGTATATTAATGTGTTCTTGTGTTATGTAATAATTTTAAGTGTACTATGTTGGTGTATTAATGTGTTCTTGTGTTATGTAATAATTTTAAGTGTTCTTGTGCAAAATCATTGAAGGCATCTGGATGTGCAAAATTATTGAAGTGTCTTCTTGTGCAAAATTATTGGAGTGTCTTCTTGTGGAAAATTATTGAAGGCATATGGATGTGCAAAATTATTGAAGTGTCTTCTTGTGCAAAATTATTGAAGGCATCTGGATGTGCAAAATTATTAAAGTGGCTTCTTGTGCAAAATAATAAGTACAATAATTATTGAAGGCATCTAGATTAATGGAAAAAGTAATTAATAAGCCATAAATTTAATACACATGACAACTAATAAAGTACATAAACTTAATACAAACAACAATTCATAAACCACATAAATCACATAAACTTAATACAATCGATAATTCATAAACTACATAAACTTAATAATGATATCCACCATCTTCACTTGGCGGTGGACTTGGGATATAGGGTTGAGATGATTCATCATCTTGAAATATGCTCCTTGTGGCATGCTTTCGCAAAATTCCCTTTTACTTACCACATAAGAACTTCTTCCTCTCTAGAGGGTATCTGTTGAGGTCCTCCATCATGAAATTAATTTCGAAACTATCTTGCTCCCTATCCCCTTCTTCCTTCATTTGCAAACGCATTCGGGTTGCTTTTTCTTGGCGAGCGCTATGAGTTTCGCTCGATCATGCAAATCCGGTAGCAATGTGTCCATTCATCGAATCTTGGGACTTCCTTTTTCTCTTTGCTTCCTTTTACTTATCTCTTCCTGGAGGCCTTGCAAAAGAAGGAGTTGGGGTCATTTCATCGACACCTTCACCTTCATTGACACCTTCATCTTTGGCATTTGTCGGTGTGGCTTCACATGGAAATA